CCTGGAGTTTGAGCATCTGTTGTATGGATGTATGGACAAATATAGTTTTGTGTCACCTGCATTTTTCCTGATTCCTAAACTGTTGACATCAACAAACTAAAGTTTTTCAGATAAATATGACTTAAACCATTTAAATGCAGTTTCTTTATAATATGGTTCTTGAAAAACTCTTCAACAAGTGCTTGGAGAGTTTTTTCTTAGTTTTATTTTTTGTACTCCTGTTTAATTTGCAAAAAACATTTTAAATAATGAACAGATCTGGACTCCACTCAGACTCAGATGTAGAGGGCGCTGTAGCATTGTCTTGCTTAAAAAATCATGGAGTTTCTAGGGAGACGTGAGGTGTCATCTATTTTTACCAAATACAGCTGACATGCAGACTGATGTGATGACTCAAAACATTTCGTATGTTGTTAACAATATGCACACACTTTCATGTAAGTCGCACAACTGCTGAGGACTGAGGAGTCTGTGGGTCCCAGCTTGCACTGCACAAACAGCCCTACTAGAAATGAGCAAAATGTGTTAAAAATTAAATTCTCCAGCTGAGTGATTAGAACAATAGCTCATAGAATGTGTTTCTGGAAACAAAATTGGCCTTTGCTCTTCTGCAAAACAAAAAAAAATCTTTACTTTTGATGATGTCATGATACTTCTGACATTTAATCAGGTGATGTAGAGAGAATTAAAGACAAGTAAATTAAACAGATAAAGAACTGAAACTTAAGGTAGTAACATACAAATAAAATCGTAAGATAAGCTAACAATGTTAGCTTTTTAACGTAAATTTTAACTTTTTTTGTAGTCTTTATTGTATAAGTTTTCATCTGGTGGTGGAACTTTTTAGCCTAAGAAGACCCACATTTTCAGACAATTTTAAACGTGGTTTGAGTTTCTTAAGTAGCTAACTTGTGTTGGCTACTGAAAACACCAGCACAGCCACTCTGCTAAAATTAGATCTAATACTATCCTTCTAAAAAACACATGAAAAATTGAGGAAGTATGTATAGTCAATATTATATAAAGTTTATATTAACAATACAAAGTAGAGCAGAGTGAGTTTGACAAATGTTATTGGAAACCAAATTAGATCACACACTGAGCAAGCATTCTGGCAACGGTGGGAAAAAATCCTTTTAAAAGGAAGAAATCTCCAGCAGATCCAGGCTCAGTGTTCAGCCGTCTGCCTTGGCAGAGAGTGAAAGAGGAAAATGGGGGAGACAGCAGAGGGGAGAGGAAACAGGGGAACGGGAGTGAAAGAGCAGGAGCACGCATAGAAGACTATAATCTGAGTACAGTCACACGAGCTGCAAACAGTACAGCTGTACGAAGGACTTGTTCAGTAGTGTTAGATGTTAAATTAGTTATCCTGAGCAACATTTTATTAGTTATGAGTAAAAATGTTCACTATGACATTAGTCTCAGGTCTGGGTTAAGTCCTACAGTCTGTGAAGAAGGGGACATCTATTGGAAAAAGAAGAGACAAGGTTATTGTGACAGTGCGTCATGGGAGTTGTCTAGGCCTGTAGCACCATAACTAAGGGATAACTCAGAATTAGCTGAGCCAGCCCTACAAAAAGGATGTATCAAAAAGGAAGGTTTTAAGTCTGTGACTGTAGAGTGGGTGTCAAGTTCTGGAACCTACTTTGCCAGTTAAATTTGAAGATGAGGAGCCTGCTAGCTAATGGCTCTGCATCCCATTTTACTCTCACATAAACACTGGAACCTGTTCGTAGACCTGCGTTTCCAGAGCTCTGTTAGGTTGTTATGGTCTAGTTATGGATATATTGTAGGACATACAATATTCTATAATATATAACAAATAATCATTTAATCATCAAATTGAATACAGCATTGTGTGAATATATGATAAAACACAGTGTACAGATACAGCATTAGGCAGTATGAAGTTATACAGATGTACAGTTGTACATTAAAACTGGCCTCATTTGAAGGAAATGCACAATATTATATGGATCATCTTTGTGTTCTCATTAAATGAGTGTGGTGTGTGGCGACAGATGGTAAATGGTGACAGTGTTGTGAGTCAGTGTGTGTGCGTGTAACGTCCAACTGATATCATGACTGCCATTCTCCCTGCCAAACATGCATTTGGGCACTGTGCCATGTGAGCCAATAATAAGTCCATGTCTATATCTGTACGTGTTAAAAACAGAAAATAGATAAAGAACCACTTCTTTATCGATTTTCTTTTTTCTATTTTCTTCTATGTTTTTAACATTTTTCCAGAATTATAACTGAAAAAAAAGTGTGTGTATATATATATATATAAATGTATATATATGTATATATGTGTGTGTGTATATATGTATGTATATATATATATATATAGGCTGGACGTTGCAGCTTCAGGTCTAATGCAGGGTTTTGGACATTCTCAAAATCGTGGCACCGCAGCTTTACTTCTTTCGAAGTGTCTTATTTGACGCAGGTCCTTGACTCATTTTGATACCATTTATTCAGCATAAATTAATTGAAAGGTTAGCTTGTTAAGAATTAGAGTCATTAAACATTAACCGATGACTCATTCAGACCAGTCATCCTGCAGTACAAAGTAGCATTGTTTTCAAAAATAGACTTCTGGTGGGATGCTATGATAGTTTCAATACCTTGTCACAATTCCAGCTCTCATGGGCTGATAATACTTGCATCCTAATTTCATGTTTTTCCACAAATGTTAAGCAACTCCATGAAAAATCCCTCATGCTGAAAACTACACAACAAATAGACCTTTACTTTAAAGGGTGTTTTTAACTACCTTATTGGTAGTTCATTGATATTTGCATGATTAAAATTTTGACAAAAATGTCATTTTTTTTCTTTCTAGTGCCAAACTATACACTGACCCTTGAACCCACCCTAATCCCAAAGACGACAGCTGAACCCACAGAATTGGCTTGCCGTGTCAAAAACATCACCCATCTACCCCCAGGGGACCGGCTGGGGGTTATGTGGGAGCGCACCGCTATTCAAGGTAATTGAATTCAGAAGGCTAGCTGCGCCTTGAAAACTTTGTATAAGTTATTGACATTTCTGTGATTACTAATTCCTGCAGGCAGTGATCCAAAGACTTTACAACACATTGGCTCTCTGGATGGAAATGGCAACCTGCAGCCAGGGTTGATGTACTCTGAACTGCTAAAGAGTGGCATGTTGTCTCTGACAAGAATCCAACCGGACACTTTCATGCTCCGGATCCTCCAAACACAGGTATGCAAATTTAAGGATGCAAAAGTGCATTCTGATGGAACGATATTATTTTTTGAGTGTTCATTTGACTGAAATTTTTAACTCATTTTGAAGCCTGGGCAGAATGCCGTTGTACGTCCAATAATTCCAATACACAGCCATGTTTTGTTGCTCTAATCAGAAATTACTCTATTGATTACCTGAGGGAAATATTTAATATTACAAGACACTTATACAGAGTTGATGAACACATTATTATTTGCACACGCTGCAGGGCCTTGATCTACCATTTCAACAATGAGCATGTCTTTGTTGCGGCTTTAAATTCAGGTCAGATGCCAGGTCAGAGTAGACCGACATTTCTCAATGGAGGTCAATAGCCCATGGCTGACAAGCTGAGGAAGGAATGTTGAATTATTTAATTAATTCCAATTAATCATATTATATTAGATTTACCCAACAAGTAAGCTATATGAATTGTATTTTATTGTATTTTCAAGTACATTTTAGGGATGATGGTCCAACTGAAACTTTTGAAACACAACAATAACAATGCTTTATTTTTATTTTTCCATTTATAGGAGGTTGACATGGGCCATTATTCTTGTACTGTCTCTGTTTGGAGCTTTGGCAGCCAGGAGGACATGCTTAAGACGACTGAACAGAAGAGCTCACCAGTGCTTGTACGGTGGGATATAAAACGTAAGCAATAAGTATACAGTATATAATACAATATTCATCACAAGCACACGCTACTGCTGGATACAATAAAGCATGTTTTAGTAGAGAGTTCCTCGTCCGATACATTGGTACGTCGGTCTGGTCTTCTAATCATTGAATATCAGCAGAAGCATGGCTCCTTTCTAAGATCCACTGGTTTAGGCAATGGTCCTTACTGTACGCATCACAGTGGAAGTACAAATCTAGCTTAAGAAACAATGACAATAATATAAAGCATACATACTATACTAACTAACTATATGTGAGGTTATCAGGTATGGTCCTACCCAACTATTGTTCATTTCCTGTAATGCAGCATCTTGCAAACCAAAGGACTGAACCGCACCACCTTATTAAAAGGTGACAAAATGATTTTCTCTACAATATTTATTACGTCACTGACATTAAAAACACACTGCTTGCTAATCCATGGGATGATCTGCTAATTCCTGATTATATACAGTTACAGCTACATTGTAGTAAATGGCTTTTGGGAAAATGCTAACCTTCTTTTGTGTAGTATGTTTAAACTGCTGCCCACCTTTGATCCAACCATTTATTAAAGAAAACTGCTACCATTCATTCTAAGTCATTCTAGACCAGCCACAGTTAGTAAATGAGCTCTTCATTTCTAGACATCACAGGAGACGTACTTGAACATAACAACAGACCTCTTGTTCTTTTGGCCTGTTTTATTCACAACGCGCACACACACACACAACTTCTCTTTATGTCAGTCTCACACTCAAACCCAGTGCCCTCACTTGTGGTAATTCAGCCATGATGTAACCCATGGCTCTCCGTCTGTGTTAGACTGAGCCTGCTTTGAATCAAAGAATGTTTTAGCATTATTGCTCAGCATTTCCTGTTAGCCTCTTGTGCTGATCTCTGGGTACTTTCAGGATCATCTCTCAATGTCATTGCCAAGCGTGTCCGCGAAGCATCAGTAGGTGGCGCCACCTTTGAGATGACCTGCTCGGTGACCACAGAGAACCTGGGGGAAGCAGGCTATTCAGTGTTAATTCAAACCCAGGAGAGCTTGGAAAGCAGCGTAAAAACCATCATGACTCTGAGTCCAGACAACGTTGTGCAGCATGGAGGAGCCACAAGCCCAAACAGGAGGTACACAGTAGTTGGTGCTGAAAAATGCATATAAAGTATTCTTTTCCTGCTTCTATCTGAATATATTTTTGCAGCAACCTACATTTACACAGAAACACACATTATCTCGCCCTCTTTGCTTAGAGATAGTTTGGTTCTGACAAAGTCCAGCCCATCAGAATTCCGATTTCGCCTTGAGGGCGTCCAGTTGTCCGATAGAGGTTTCTACTGGTGTGATATTACAGCATGGACGAAACAGCAGCAGGGGCAAGCCTGGACCAAAGCCACAAGTGCAGAGTCCAACAAAGTCAGAATTGACTTTCAGGAAACAGGTGAGTCCATGTGGGTTTGGTCACCAGGGGTTTAAAAGGTAAAATGTTGGCCTACTAAAATTTTATGAACTTAACATGAGATAAAAGAAGGTTCTGACAGAGACCTGTGCTTGTCTGTGTTTTTAAGATGCCACTATTCTTTTACATTTAAAAGAATATATATTTGTCATTTCCTCATGGATTTTTTTTGTGTAGGTGTGGTTGATTATTGATGATGTTTTTTGATTGGCTGCCACATACAGTAGGCCAGGTCTCACTTCTATAGGATATTATATCTCAACAAGACTTCCTGTTTTAATTAAAGGTAAAATATATATGAATACATATACATATATATTTAATCAAATGTCGCATGAAATTGTCTTTGCAGAAGAAGCATTAAATGACTCTGTAATTAAGACATGTTTTAATAATAAAGACACATTTTGCCATTTTTTTAACCATTGTAAATTATGGCTCGTGACATTGTCCATGTTGCACATGGTGGTAAGTGACATCAGTCAATTATCATTCTTTTTATGTTGTTTACAAGATGTAGTTTTTGCATATGTAGTTCAAGTTCATTTGTGCTCATCTGTCGTCTTTCCTCAGGCCCATCCTTCTCCATCGCCATCCACTCAGATGACACTAATGTCTATCCATCAACAACAACCAAGATTAAATGTTCGCTAGATGTTTCTTCATCCTCATCAAAGACAGGTAAATTGAACACATACTATACAATTAACGGAAATGCTCAACTTCACTGTGTGCGTAAGAATGTCATAATAAGGGACACTAGTAAAAAAAGAAGGTATCGGAGAGATATTGATATCGACAGATAATCCAGGTTGCATTATTGAGTTTTCCTAGTCAATATTGCAGGTAGTGAAAATGACATGCATTTTATTGGTTTGCACTGAGGAAATTTCCCACTTATGTGACACACAATTTCTGTTTTCTGGGGGTTTTTTTGTCTTTGTTTTGTGTGTTCATATTTATATATATGTATATATTTACTGTAAATACTTATATGTATACAGGTGCAGCTAAAATACTCTTTTATTTATTAACATTTGTTGTGGACAAGATACAATAAGAAAGGAGCTGTGGGAAATGGGTGTAACGCTTGAGTAACTCCCTTTGCATTCCTCAGCAATAAGTAGGAATGACTCTCCTGTTGGAACTTGTCTTTGTGATGGCTGTGGTAAAACACAACTCTCATTTTCTGTCGCAATTTACAGCAACATTAATTTGACTTTGAGCAGTGCATCATTCAGCAGTCACAGAGGGACTTTCACAGGTGTAAATGCTCATTGAGGACTGCGCTTAATTTAGGATCGCAGTTGTAAACCTGCTTACTACTCTAACCATAGCCTGATCTGAGCCTGAAAAAATAAATGTTGCATATATATAAATGTATATAGAAATATACAGATATACGTGTGTGTGTGTGTGTATATAGATATTTATATGACACCCATCACGTCCCTAATGTTGATTGAAAATAGTTACCTTTTTTTAAATTTCATTTGCTACATTTCATATTTCACAATATTTTTAATACTTCAAAATGTTGCAGTTATAGACTGTTGTCACTTTAAGGATTAGCAGTAAATGAAGCCAAAGTGTTGCACAGCATGCATTGATTTATTATCATAGTTGAATTTTAACCTAGTATACAACACTATTTTTAGTAGCTCATTTGCAGCCTGTTGGTTTAAATGGAATCATTTTGAATAGTCATAAATTATTTGGTATCATTTTCTTGTATTGTTCAGTTGAACCTGCACACATAAACACCAACTGCTGTCTTTCAGCAGGCGGCTGCAGGTGGTCACACAGCCCCCATTACCTTTGGAATGATTGGCATGTGTTTGCAGCATTTTGTACGTGTCTGTGTAAAAGGACGAAATTAACTTCATTTGAATCCATTAGGTTGTTGTTTGAGGCATTGTGTCCTCTAACTTTACTTTTTGTTTATTGGTTTATTGGTTGGTTTATTATGGTTAGTTTTTGTTAGTTGGTTAGTTCCTATTTTGCCAAACTGTGTGTGATTTTGGAATTTTTCAGTTTTAGTAGTATATCCTCAACTGTTTTTTATTTACTGACAATTTTATATGCAGTTATTCCTTGATTTTCTAAGTAATGGAGAAGCTGAAATAGTAAGCCCTGCATTATAAATCAATGTCTAATGTAATAATGGGGTTGTGGGTGCTTTGGCTACAAAAGAACTGGTTTTGACTTTTTTTGCTTAAGGCTTACCTGTCCATTTTACAGAAAAATGAATAGTTATTGTAACATTGTCTTTATTAGAAATATTTGTTTGTGTCATTCTGCTCTTCATTTGCTTACATGTACCTGTAATCCAGTAGATATAAGCATTTGCTTTTAGAAATATTTGTTTGTGTCATTCTGCTATTCTCTCTATTTCCTTACTTACATTTCCTCATAAGACAAAATGCATTTAAATTAATATTAAGAAAGATTTGACAGATTTGGTTATATTAAATCCAGGAGACCACATTGTTTTAGAGATGTGGTTAGGATTAGGTTTCGGTTGTTGGGATAAGGCCTGAGTCATGTGTGAGTCATTCAGGTAAGTTAGTTTGTTTACATCCCCCTTCACTATCCATGAACCTTCTCTGGGAACTTTGTTGTGTTGTCAAGGCCAGCAAAGACTTCTCTGTTAGCCTAAACAGTATAAGAATCATTGACCTGGGTTTCAATATATTTATCAAGAATATTCAGAAAATAACACAGGTATTCTGCTCTCATTAGTCATTACTGTCCTCAGCTACTCTCTTGGTTACACTTTTTTTAGCCTATCGTATTTTACCCTCATGCGTTGCCAGGTTGAAAGGCCTTAAGAATCAGTAATGTGGGCGCTGGGAGTCTAAAATGAATGGCAGATTGATTGGTTGTCTCTTTTTCTAGCTGGCCAGGAGTTAATTTGATGATTTAATATATATATATATATATATATATATTCAGTTCTGCCACCTTCAGTTCACCCTGCTGATATTTAGACCATGGCTCCTTCACCAAACTAGTCTTTATCACAGTTGTCCCTACTGTCTAATAGTAAATTTCAGTATTCAGTTTTGCTACTGTCCATCTGTAACGCTGTGACTTTCCTCCATCCATCAAATCCCCCCACACCCTGTTGTTTTGTTTATTTTGGGGTGAGGGTTACATTTAGCTACTTTTACTTCTCCATCTTTACTTCTTATGCAGTTTCACTTTTCAAAATGAATCACTCTTCTGTCTCTGGTTTTTGCTGACCTGTATTTCTCTGCTCTGACGTGCAGAACACCATTCCATGTTCTACATTCCATGCAGCTTGCACTGTCATCTGCAAATCTGTGAAGTCTCCTGCCTGGACTAATCTGTCACCCGTTGCTTCCTTCTGCCTAAAACCCTGTATTTCTTCATTTGCCTTCTCTCCTCCATTTGTCTCTTTCTTTCCCTTTTTTTGCCATTGCTTGTCGCCAAATTTTTTGCCTTTTTTTTTTTTTTTACAGTTTTTGTCTTCTAAATTTTTTTTCCTTTTTGAAGAGTTCCACCCCCTTCACTCTGCTCAACTTGTTTTCCTGAAGGTTCTGACTGTCCTCAAAAGCTTGTTGCGACTCGTCCCTTAACTCATTGCAACTCAACTTCCTCATTAGTTCCCTTCTCTGTTGCTCTTCCCTGTGACAACACGGTAGAGCAGTTTGAAATATTCTCCAATCCTCCTGGCCCTGCCTCCTTTCTGTCTTTTCTTTCAAACACAGACCATATCTACCGTCAGTTGTCTTTTCCAGCTCCATGCCTTTACCAATCTGTATTTTTCAGTTCTTTACTGTCACCCTCTGACGGGTTGTATCAACTCTCACTGTTTGGCCTTGGACCAACAACAACACCCTGTTGGTTAACCGCACTGTTTTAAAGCCAACCTGTAACCTGTCTGTATGGCAGTTGTTGTGTTGATGCACATATTTATTTATTTAGCTTTAATCTTTAAGCCAAATGCCCCTCAGAATGAGTGCTGACCTTGTTTAAAACAGCTTTTGAAAACAGTAATGACGCACGTAATGATGATTGGAAGTAACAAATTATCAAATGTAATCAGTAGACCATTTATAAAGTGCTGTCCAGGTTTTACCTACAGTGTGGCTAGGCATTGATAAGGACAAAGGTGTTCCTCATTTACAGTTTATTCCTGGCGTGTCATGTCAGGTTGACTAATATGACACAGTATCGGTCTGAAGCACGCACCTAAATATTTAATTCCAACTAAATGTGCTCATCAGCAGGCTTAGGTAAGACGTTCTTCAGTATAGTCATGTTCTAAAGCTATGACTACTTCTGTATTATTGCCGTTTTGATGACTAGTTATTGATAGAAGGCGTAACCTCAGTACAGAACAGATGATAAGGTCTGTGTGTCAGAGTGACAGTGACTCATATATGTCATATATCATTCATCACACGTGTGTGTAGGTCTGTCAAGCGTATGATTTCCTTCTTCAGCTAGTTTAGCATGTCTCACTGAGTGCTATTTATACACCAGCAAAAGGTGAAACAAGGCCGAGGTAGTGCTACAGTGACATCTCCTGTCAACCAACAAACGTATTTCATTTATCCTTGAACTCACTATATTTAAAAAAAAAGGAAAAACAAGTCTAGATAAAAAGAAACACACATTTTTCAAGGTTTCAAGGTCAGCTCATTAAAAAAAATCCACTATGATCCCACCCCCACAAACACTCAGCCTTATTTCAAACTAGTATCAAAACATCAGATGATATTTGGGGAATCTGCATCCTCCATCTCTCAGCTCTGCAGTTTTTGTGTGATTGTTATTTATCACCTACCAGAATGTGAGCGATTAACAGCATGAGGCAGAGCATCTTTCTGAAATTGCACACAATCAGGTCATTAAAGCGTATTAAACAGTATAGTGAATATATATGAAACACTGCTCCTCTCTTATTTTGGGTTATCTAGTCTTCGTTTTCTTCTCAGTCTCTTTATGCCACCACTGCCTGCTCTTCACAATCACCAAACTACCCAGCTGTCTTTCCTGGCCAACAGGCAGCCATTAATTAGCCAATCTCACGCTCTGTTTGCCAGCTGCAGAGTCAGAATGAGGTGGAAGAGAAGAAGAGCTGGCAGGATTGAGGCAATGGGAGAGTGAAGTGAGACAAGTGGAGAGAACTAAAACAGATTGTTGAAGAGTGCACAAGTGTTAAGGGAGTGCATAGAAGAGGCAGCAAGAGGAAACAATCTGACAAAAGAACAGTGCACTTTTTATTTCCTAAAATAAATAATTAAGAGGGGGAGTGTGAAATGCCAAAAGCAGGAAAGGCTTGAGGTGTCTATAGAATGAAGACAAAAGTGGTGAGGGATTAGAGATGGTGAGAGAAAAATCTGCATACCACAGATATAGAATGAAGACAAAAGTGGTGAGGGGTTAGAGATGGTGAGAGAAAAACTATCTGCATACCACAGCCTTGGTACAATTATTTTAGCCATCCATTCATCAGACCGCACTGTTTTAAAAGCTAATATTCTGAATAGGACATTGACATACGTCACTCACAATACTTCATAAAATCCATTGTCAGTTCTAATCAGGAAGTCCAAGTCAAACATTTACAGGCCAAAGCAAAAGCCTTATATCAACAACACCACCCA